CAGCCCCCGGGCGAGGTGCGGCTGGCGAACGTGGAGGGCCTGTTCCATGCCGCGTCCTGTACTGAGCGCTTTGCAAACCTCCTCCGGGCCCGACCCCCACACAACCCCGCGAAGTCGGCGGTTCTCATTTTAGTCCCAGTATACGGGGAACCTGCCCACGAGGGCGGGTGAGCAGCTTGCTCAGGGTCACCCCGCAGGTAAGTGGGTTCTAACCTGGTCTGCCTGTTGCTCCCCCACTGCTCTGCGCTGCACCTTCTGGGCTGGGGAGGCTCTGCCCTGGAGCCCCTCCTGCTGTGAGTTCTCAGTGCCCTGGGGTTGGTGGGAAAGGATGCTCTGTCCCTGTCCCTGGAACAGGCCCTGGCTTGCTCTGATCCAGAACGACTTTGAGACGTTGTTGACACTGAGGAGGAGACAGCCTGCTAAGGAAAGAACTCTAGCTTTAAGGTCAGAGGGATCTGGCTTTCCATTTTGGCTCTCCTACTTACGACCTGTGTGACCTAGGCCAGATGTGACTGCCCAGCGCTATGTTTAACATAGAAAGAGCTAAAAAAAAACCCCATCAGGGGTCTATAAGCCCTGGATTGTACTGTCTCCGTGCTTCCAGAAAAGTTACAGACCTCGGGGAGTGAGAAGTGAGAAAACAACGAGTACGTGTGGAGAAACACAGAGCAGACTTGATAAAAAGTGAGCAGTAATGATTTGCTCATCTCTCCCAAACAGACGTCAGTGGGTCTCGGTCATCTTGTGATGAGCCCGGATGCAGGCCTGGAATTCTTCAGGAGGGTCCAAGCAGTTCACTGGAGGTCACCCAGGATGGAACCTACTTGCCATCACAAGCCTAGGTACATAAAAAGGAACTGCACACTTAGAGGAGTAAAATGAGAAGGTGAAATGTGTGATGGAGAAAGAAAGGACCGAAACTGGGAAACCTGAACATTGCTTCTTCTCATTAGGCTTAAAAAATGTTTTTTTTAATAATCCTATCCTGCAGTAATAGAAAGTAGGTCTCATGGTAGGTAGGACTGGAAGCTAACATTGGTGGCTAACTTACATAGATTATCATCTGGAAGCCCTGTAACAGCCCAGTACAGTGAGACTGAGTAGCCCCATAGCACAGCTGAGGGGGCTGAGGCTCAGAGAAGCTGAGTAACTTGCCTACTATCACACAGCAATTGAGCAGGATTTGGAACCTAGGACCATCTCGCACTGAATGCTGTCCTCTTTTCACACCACCAATCTGGAATCATTTAACCCTGAGTCCTAGGCCTGCTACAGATGACCCAGGCCCACCTCTGCCCCCCCAACTCCCCAGGCATCCCAGCAGCTGGGCCCACTGATCTCTCTGCCTGCCATGGTGTAGAGAGCCATGTGGCCTCGAGGCAGGGTTCCCTGCAGAGTATTGCAGGGTATTTGATACTGGAAAATGGTCACTGAAAGTAAATTCATTTAAAATGAGTTTCCCAAATTCTATGGTAGTTAAAGAAAAAAGTTTGGACAGGACCTTATTTTGAAAATGAAACTAAAATTTATGAAAATAGGTGTGTTCCAAGAATGAAGTCTATGTAACAAATTACCCCAAAACTTAACTGGTTGTAAACAGTTAAGCATTATGCTCACTAATTCTGTAGGTCAGGAATTTAGACAGGGCACAACACACGATTCAAATGGTTCCCCACCATCACTCTCATTGACTTCAAGAAAGCCTCTCTCAGCTAATTAAGTTTATCACATAGGAACTCAGATAATGATTATTTTAATAAGGAGTTTTCCCACCACTGCCACCCATGTCAGCTCTGCCTCTTCTGTCCCTAAAAGCAGTGCCTCATCACTCTGCACTGCACTTCTGTATTATTCCCCCAGATGTAGTTCTGTCCTTTGCCTCCTGCTGCCCTCTGTGCTTGAATGGCAGAATTCAGTCTAAGTTCTCCTTAAATTGGGGGAGGATACACAAAATCCGAAAAAGGTACAGAAATTTCCCACTTACTTCCTCCCCTCCCACAAGCATAGCCTCCCCCATTATCAGCATCACTCACCAGCGTGGTACATTTTTTACCAAAGATGAAACAACATTGACACATTATAATCACCCAAAGTCCATCTCTGTTTCTTTATAATGTATCTTCTTTTTCTTAAATAAGATTGAATACATCTTTCTCTCTTCCTTCCTTCCTTCTTTCAGTCCTTCTTTCTTCCCTTTCACTTTTTTGCAGCTAATCACTAACTAATACGAAGAGTTTCGGTTTTACCTCGGCAGGGAAGAGCCAGTGGAAGGGCATGAGGCAGAGGAGCAACACGGACTCGTGCTTCAGAAAGACCTCTGGTGGCAGGGGTCGGGGAAGCCTGCGGAAGGCTCCAGCGTTGGTCTGGGCAGCAGAGGGCCGAGAGCCCGAGCCCAGGCCGCAGCAGGGAGGACACACAGGGGTGGGTCTCGGGGGTCCTCGGAGGTGGAGTTGACACGTTTAGTGTCTCAAGTTGTAGGGAGCCCAGGGCGGGAGCAGTTAAGGGAGTCCTCAGTTTCTAGCTCAGCGGGTTGAGAGAACTGCAAACCTGTTGACAGACAAAGCGAGGGCAGAACACACTTGGGAGAAAGAGGCTGAGCCCAGTTTCTGGTTCCTTTGCGGAGCCTGGGGCGATATCCAGTGGGCCCGACACGTCATTCCTGGAGTCAGCAGACGAGTTAGAATAAAGATGCACGTAGCTGGTATCCACCTGACAGGGTTAGATTCCAGAAAGAGTTTAGTTTAGCATGAGAAGAAAAAAAACAGTGAGGCAACAGAAACATAGGGAACACTAACGCCGATGGGCCAGAGCCGGGCAGGAGCCAGCCCAGGAATCTGAGCGGGTGGTCAGAGGCGGGAGGGAGCCAGGAGACAGTCTTAGATGTTAAGCAAGCAGAGCTTCAGGCAGGAGGGAATGACCACCCAGGTCAAGTTGTGCAGTGAGTTTAAGATGGAAGCTGAAGGTAGTTCATAGTCGTTGCTGTTTGAGACGTTGTTGTCCTTAAAGAGAACAGTTTCATCGAAAGGGAGATGGTGAAAACAAGGTGAGGTCACTTTGGTTGAGAAGTGACTGGTCGCTAAAGAACCAGGCAGAGCAAGAGACGGCTGCCCCCTCTGCAAGTGTGGATGCGAAGGGGAGGAGACAGAAGCTGAAGGAGGAAGACAAAGTACCGACTGTAAAACTAACCCTAATCGCGCCTCCCCCGAACCCACGCCCTTCGCCATGTGCGCTTGCAGCTCCTTTTTAAGAAATGGAGTCTTTTCTTGCTCCTGGGCTGGCCTTTGACCTGCTTTTGCCAGGAGATGAGGCAGAAGTGACACTGTGGCCCATTCCAGAGGCCTGTGGACTTCTGCTCTCTCTGCCTTAAAATCCTGCCTGGCCATCGTGAGACCAAGCCTGTGCTGACCTGCTGGGTGAGTGACCCGTGGCCCAGTCACCTGCTTCCCCGTAACCAATGATCTGCTAATGGCCAGGCACGTGAGTGAGGTCCCTTGTGACCAGCCTGCCCCGCCGACCCACCCGCTGACGGCACCCTCGGCAGGACGTGCAGCCAGTGTTTCCGGCCCAGCTCCAGCCAGCCGAGCCTGG